AATATTTTTTTTATAGGACAGATAGGACGCTCCCCTGTTGTTAAGTGATACTGCTGCCCATTATAAATTATAATTACCTTATTAAGAAATATATACTTAAATGTTTGAAGTCCAGGAAGCCACCGCTTGGCACGGGCAGACATTATTGCGTTTGATAAACATTTGCTCATGAGACAATAATTGTCGACATCGAACGCAAGACTACAGCCTTTCGATTCTGTAACTCACTTTTTGAACTCTCACTGCGGTTTTCGCAGCGGCGGTCGCGCTCAACTCAGTCGTGAAGCAGTCATTTTACGATTTGGCATTCTGATAAGGAGGGAGCTTGTAGTTTATTGTTATTAGAATGCCAGGCCATGGCGCAAGACTGGGATGGAATGTGTGTTTATAAAATTTAAATTTGTCAAATGAATTAAACAAGGAGGCGGAAATAAATAGCTACTCAAAAAAAGATACACTTTGCATGATACTAAATATTATTTTCTGTCTTCAATCCTATTTATAAAATATGCTTAGCGCTTTTGCTTCTTACAACGATTTGTATCGTTCAGAGGTGTGGCGATGGGCATTTGTTATCTTACATTATCCTGTATTACGTCTTCTATCATAATTTCTGTTTTTCAATGTTTCTATGTATATTATATTTTACTCTTTCTTTCGACTTCAGATATTTCTATTAATCTTTTCAACAACATATTTAACCTTTTGATTACATAACCTTTTCACCTCCATTGATTACATAACTTTTTTACCATTCTTAAATGGCCGGCAACGCACTCGCGAATCCTCTGGCATTGAGAGTGTCCATGGGCGGCGGTATCACTTAACATCAGGTGAGCCGTTTTCCCGTTCTATAAAAAAAATAACCCTAAAATTCCTATAAATTAATATCGATTTCTGTTAACCAAAAATTTATACGTATATTTCATAAGCTCACTTATTAGCACGAAAAGAATAAACATTCATTTACATTAAACCCCAGTTCTCGAAATAAGTTATTTAAGTGAGGCTTGAATTTATTAGGCAAAATTTATCAATCAATTTAATGAGTCACGGGCAAACTTTCTCCCGCCCTTAGATCTTCAATACTAGTCATCATCTTTTGTGATGAACATCTCATATGAATGAGTAAAAAAAAAAAAAAACGTTCTTTTTTAAATGAAACAATCGTAGATTTATCGTAAATGTCCTTGTATTTATTTAAGTATACGAACATTTTAAAGCATAATAAGTTAGTTTTAAAGCTTAAATAAATTACGTAATCAAATATTTAATTGCGATATAGAGGTCGTTTTGGAAAAAACCCTAATTTACATTTAAGATTAAACGAAAGGATAATAAATTCATTTGTTGTTTCATTTCAACCTAAATAAATAAAAAGGAAAACCATTTTCGTTTCGGACAAAGACTTTTACGACTAGCCACCCCTCTTGTCTTAGAACCAGCCATCATAACTGTGCTTATGAAGATAAAACTTTCGTAATAATAATCTCTATAACCTTTATGGGTTTTTCCATCTGTTTTCTTGATTTTTCTAGGCATGTAGTTTATAGATACCCAACGACGAGTTTTGAGTTGTAGGTATGTTATGCGTTATTTGATTTATTGGATATTGAATGTTTTGTGCGACGTACTGACAAGTCATCATACCTAAAAACATTTGTAACATAATTCATTTATATTTTATACAGTTGCTTCACACTAATACAATTAATTAAATACGGATGGCAGATGTAATCAAACCAATCTTTCTCGTCTGATTATTTTAAAGGCAACAACGCATCTTTGAAAATCTTAAACAAATTAATTATATAATATTTTTAATCGTACAAATGTTTAGCTTGTTAACTTGGCTGACTGGAGTCGTCCACGAGCTCTCATAAATTTTGCAGCTGGCAAGACGCTCGGCAGGGGGCTGCGATTTCATCGGCGTATTCCAACGCGAAGGAGGGAAGGAAACTAAAAGGTGAAACCTGTACGGTAGTAATAGTAGTTAGTCTAAGTATGAGTGTTCTCTTTTTGCTGTTTATTGAAGTGGTATAAAGGACAAGCACGGAATAGATAGTTTCGTAACCTCCATAGTTATCTTCTTTTTTTTCTTCTACGCGTATTGGCAATCAGCCCTAGCGAATCTGTGCTGTGGTGACGTCATGTGGAGTGGCTTCCCATTGGAAGCATCTACTCATCTACTGCCTAGAGCTTCTGCCGGTCTTCTAGCTCTAGAATATGGTGACGTTTTAATCGTTTCACATACTGTTCTATGGTGAGTTAGCGAGCAAGTTATCTATGGAACACTTACAAAATAATTGAAAAATTGGAAGGGAAATACAATAAAGTATGCAAGAAGTGCAAATCTTATTTAAATCATGTTACATTGTCACATTTTGCAAGTTTTTGTTTTCTATAGTTTAGTAAATTTTAGGCTTTGAACTAAGAGTGTTCTATTTTATGAAATTCAATTATCATCGACGCATCGTCTTAGGTATTTCCCGTGGATGTGAAGAAATAAATTTCACAAGAATGACAGCAGAAGGTCAATTAATTCACTTAATTCTAGATAAATCCAATTGTTAAGGATTCCAGGATCCAATTAAGGCTTAACCGATAAATCTGTTTACGAATAACTGAGATTTGGGAGCTTAAGAAGGTTTCTATGGACCGTATATTTCCTCTATAGAAACTCAATCATATTATCCCTTTTTATTTATGGCCCATAAGAATTGAGTTTTGTAGTAAATAAAATGTATCCGAAATTGCCAACGAATGATTAGAGTGATCTTTTATTGGATTGAATTGCGGCACTTATACCATCTGTATAAGACAAATAGTTTTGAAATGTGTATAGATCATAGACTGGTATATCATTTTAGATATAGCATCTATTTAATTCCTTAAGAAATAGTCATATAGCATATCTAGACTTTGGAAATACTAGTAAAAGCGCGAAAACAATTGAAACAATTAAAACGAACTAAAATAATAAAAATTGCAATAATTCTTAAAAATTTAAATTGTTGATGTGCTTTAAAAGCGTGTTTTTTAGTTTTTTTAAACCATTATTTATTTTTTAGTTAATTTTTTTTTTATTTTTTTCATTTTTTTTTAGGATTATTGCATTGTCATCGATCTTTGACAGGTGCGCAAAGTTTGAATTAAATCTGTCCGTTAAAAGTGGGTCAAAATCGAGTCCGAAGGATTCGGTTACATACATACATACATACATACATACATAAATACATACATACATACAGGTGAAGCTAATATAAAGCGTGTAAAAATTAGGAGTTCCGAAAAAACAAACAAAATTCGGCTCTATGACCGAACCACAATCAGCAAATATAAAACGTGAATATTAGGATAATCAAACAAAACTGTGGGCACTCTAAAGTTGTTTTAAACAAAGTTTGAACATTTGTTTTAGTAGACTCGCATACGTGTAGATGTTACCAATTTATAAGTAGGTACTTTGTTTGAGTATGAACTTTGTAGTGATGTGAAGAAATAACAATGTGTTTGTGTATATTTTTGTTATGTATGTTGGAATTAACTGTAGATTGTATAGCAGATTGTGAGTAGTATTAGACTTGACTAGTCAAGCGTCAACTATGAGGTCTTGCGTTCGAATCTCGACTGTGCATTTTATGTCCGTTTCCTATGTTCTGAACCAGAACTAGATTATATGTATGTATGTAAAAATATATTTATGATAGGTATGGGAAGACTGACAGAGGGAAGGCTGAATATAAGTTGCTTTTAATAGACCAGTGCAGATAGATAGCCTTCAAAATAAATAAAAAGTGAAAAAAATAATAGTAGGATGAAACCTATTGGAAAAGGAGGAGAATATTATAAAAATTAAAGGAAAAATAATTTACGGGCGATCTGAGGTCGGGAAGGGGTAGGGGTAGTTTAAGGGTAAAAAACGGTTTATCTCGATTTCCGGCAAAACTAAAAGTCCTATCGAAGAAAGTTAAATGGAAAGTTGTAGGTAATAAAAAGATCTAAAACTTTTGTATTCACACATTTTTCACATAACCTCAAAATTTATGTGAAAAATTCAAAAAACCAAGTTTTTGGTTTTTAATTTTTATCTTTTACAAATTTCTTTTTTTTAACGAAATTTGGTGAAAGCTTACCTTATTATGTTCCAAATATACTGTAATTTATTTGATTAAAAATACTTATTTTTTCACCTTATTTTGAATTAATATCGAAAAAACACCCTAATTTTCAATCGAAAATTCTGACGTCAAAATTTCAGCTTTTTTCAAAAAGTTGGTGTGCTTTCAGTTCGTTGAAATGTCTACTTTCCTATGGTAAAAAATGTATATTACCATAGTAAATCTTCTCAGAAAATGCAAAACATCGTATGCAGTAACGCCCAGACCCGTCATACCCTTCCCTACTTAGGTTTCCGCGGTTGCAGTATACGCGGACATAAGGCGGTTACTTTTGCTATTCCTGGAGCATCTTTGGTCTGTTGAGTAGATTCTTAGAAACTATACGAATGTGCGGCATATACAAAATTATCGAACTCACGCTGTGATTCTATTATTAACCGGATCTACATTAAAATAACAAGTTCATCTTAGTTGGCGATAAGAGCAATCAACTCTGTCCGATTCTGTGTTAGCGTTTAGTAATTAGTACCCGTCGGATTTTTGGCGGTGATACACGTGCCAATTGTTTCATCGCGGTGTTTTTTCATCTTTTTTTACGACGATTGCGGTGACGCTGGGGATATCATTTTATGGTTGCGTTACATGAAATCATTCAACCACTGCCGTGGAGACTGAAACGTGGCCGAGTATAAATACGCTCGTCGCTAGATAAGTTATATTTATAGAGGAAAATTTTGACTAATTTATTCATGCGTTGCTAGGGACTTATACAGCATGAGTCATTACGGATGTCGGCACGTCCAATGTAAATCAGCACTGTGACTTCATCACTTTATGGTTAACACGTTTTATAACTCCCCGACTGTTTTTATAGTTACAATGAGTGTCGTGAATACTAAGGAACAAAATGTTGACGTTGATACTCCTAAAACAAAGGCAGTCAAAATTTTGCCGAAGAAACGTCCCTACGTGCCGGAAATCCAAACAGAAGAAAAGCACATCACGCACATCATGGCAATCGTTACGAAACAAACAGAGGAAGTGAAGGAAGTTATTGCTGGCTCACAAACCGAACCATTACGCAATCAAAGTGGGGTTACGGACAAGAAGACGCAAGCACCCGAACTCGCGGCTTCTGATAAGACAACCGCGAAGCCGGCACGCGAGGTTAAGAAAAGACAGTGTCAGAAAGAATCAACGTCTCAACCGTCGACATCACAGCCATCTACGTCTCAAGCTTCGACATCGAAAGCATCGAAATCGAAAGCATTGACGTCGCAACCGTCGACATCGAAAGCATCGAAATCGAAAGCATCGACATCGAAAGCAACGACATCGAAAGCATCGACATCGAAAGCATCGACATCGAAAGCATCGACATCGAAAGCATCGACATCGAAAGCATCCACATCGAAAGAATCGACATCGAAAGCATCGACATCGAAAGCATTGACGTCGCAACCGTCGACATCGAAAGCATCGAAATCGAAAGCATCGACATCGAAAGCAACGACATCGAAAGCATCGACATCGAAAGCATCGACATCGAAAGCATCGACATCGAAAGCATCGACATCGAAAGCATCGACATCGAAAGCATCCACATCGAAAGCATTGACGTCGCAACCGTCGACATCGAAAGCATCGACGTCGCAACCGTCGACATCGAAAGCATCAACAAAGAAAACAACAAGCAAAGCTAGCACGTCTGTAGACACTAGCAGCAGCAACGATAGCCAATTCTGGATTGAGGCGGTAGAGAGTAATTTTCAATCTGACGATTATAAAAAGCTACTAATTAAGTCAAATTTTAGTGAATCACAAGCCACATCATTACAAGATTTTTTTAACCGTGCATGTCAGTTATTGTCTAACACATTTAAAGACTATCATTGTCTTATGAAAACGCACAAGTGTCGGAACTGTCCCTTCTCGATAAGTCATCAGTGTGTCTCTATTCATTATTTACATGCAGGCTCGCTAAACAGTAACCAAACGGATGTAACTTTTATCCCATCTCAAACGACGATCTTCTGCCTCTGTAAGTTTGCCTTCTTTCATACCCACAATACAAAACCATCAAGTTCCAAGACGGTCGAAACGTCGGGCTTGAAACTTACCCCGCATACGTTAATAGAAATACATGTCGCGAGAGTGTGTTGTGCCGGGTGCGACAAGACCATAGAAATCGATCATCCGCTCGATGAAAACACTGACTACTCATTAAAAACATGGAGCGCTATAAACAGCAGCGATGAAAAAACGTTCCATACGCAACTCGTCGATAACATAAAAAATTTCACGACGAAGATGCCATCTTTTCAAGAGTTATACACTTGCAACTGTCACTGCTGCCTCATTTTTCATCGGTGTCCCTAATAAGGCTACCGATCAAATACTGAATCTACCCACTGTCAACTTGGCGACAGCATCACAGTATCGGGCAAGTGTTGATTATTTTCTATTTCAAGTTTGTGTTAAACATTGACGAGAAGAGGCTCTTGACAAACAGTTGAGGCAAGAATTGCTGAATTATTGAATCACCGTAAACAAAACGGCTGCTTATTGTTCATAAGCAGCCGTTCGCAAAGGCCATGCGTGTCGATATTGCTATATATTGTGTTTGCAGTAGTATAGTCACGAAATAAATGCTTTGCTTCATATCCATTGTTTCATTTCAGTTTCATTTTAGAGCGCACATTAGATGCAAAGAAGTAAGACATGCACGAAGCAGGCCATGGTATATAGCGCACTGTTGGTAAATCTTAAGACGTAACGATTATGAATGTTTTCCAATGTGATACGGTTTTTCTTTCGCAGTCGTCGTCCTCTTGACCATTTGGTAATCACTCACGAGCTGTTCGGTCAACTGGTATCCGTCTCCCAGCGATTTCATCATCCATCACTTTTCAGGGAATCTTCCAGAGCTTAACGACTGCGAGAGTAAACCACACTGGTCCCTCGACCGAAGTTAAGGAGCAGTATTTTCCATGCTTACCCTTCTCGGGCTTTTACATGTTCTATTCTGTCTTTATTTTATGATTCTCACAATTTGTTTTTCCACTATACACTGTGGACCTATATTTCCTACGTGGGTCGTGAAGCGTAGCACAGCATTGCTAGAAGTATTAGTACAATATTAAACGTTGGAGGAGTTCATGGTATTGACGCTTTGTTCAGTTGGCCGTACATCGCGCCTTCAACACTGGCATAACGGTCCATAATTCCCAGATGCAGTTTAAGGTGAGAGAATTTCGCCAATGCAATGACAACCTCATGCATTAGGATGCATTTAACTCAGAATGCAGTTGAATTTTTTCACTACAAACGATGGCCGCTAGCCTCTGGCACGTTTCTTGGATAAGGTCTAGGCATAAATCTCTGCAAAAGACTCTCAGGTGTTGCAGAAAGGTGAGAAGATAAACGCGGCAACCGACTATCTTTTATTGTTATTTGACAATATTTTGTTAAATAGAAGCAATAAGTAACTAAGGTTTTTTTTTATAGAACAAAACGGGCAGGAGGCTCACTTGATGTTAAGTGTAACCGACGCTCATGGACACTCTCAAAGCCAGAAGGCTCGCGAGTGCGTTGCCGCCGTTTTAAGAATTAGTCGTTCTTTTCTTGAAGGACCCTAAGTCAAATTGGTTCGGAAATACTTCAGTGGGCAGCTGGTTGCACATAGTGGTGTTTCGCAGCAAAAAAAAAGCTTTTAGCTTTTACGCTTAGTTGAGGTCAAGTTGATACGGGTGGAATTTCGCATTTTGCCTCGACGTCCGATGGTGAAACTCAGCTGCAGACCGTATTAATCGGAACAACTCCTCTGAACACTCTCCATGTAAATGCTACAATCATGCCATAAAACCGTTCCAAATTCGCAAATAGCAAGGCTCAAACCAAACAAAATCGTTTGATGGTTGGTCGTCTCAACACCCACGTTCGCTAAAAATCAGTTGTCATTTGTTTTATCATATATTTAGTTTAAAAAGCTTTAAAGTTTTTTAGCTATCTAATCCAATTCCTGTATTCACAGATCTCCATTATACCTTTTATTTAGCATGAATGTTGTGCGTACTCTCCACGTAATTGCATGTACGGAGAGTGATGTGGGACAGTGCTACCCATTATAAACTTACGGAGTCAACACCTCGACCTTGAAAGGAGCCAGGAAACAGAGCCTTATTACCGCATCCCATTCCCATCTATTCTTATTTTTTATTGGGAATGTGTATGTCTAGAAATAGTAATGAATGTTCATAATCTACTTATTTTTACCCTAAAATATGTTATATTCGCGTGAATAAACAAATAAATACACAAACATAGTACGGCTTCATTACAATAATAATAAAGCCCGTTTTATTTCCAATCGTGACAAAAACAACACATACACAGCTTAGAATATTTTACATTTTTTTCTTTTGCTTATTATCTTATATCCTAGCTTCCTTCAGTACCGTCGATCGGAACCCCTTCGCTGGTCGGCCTCCTTCAGCTTTTTCCAACTGACTCTGTCTATGGCTCTCTTTTTCCATTCGTTTCCTGTTTCTTCTATCCACCTTTTTTTGGGCGACCTCTTCTCCTTTCCATACAGTTGTCTTTAAGGTCCACCTATCATCTGTGTATCTTGCTTTATGCCACGCCCATTGCCACTTCTGTTTTAGGGCATAAGGTAAGGCATATATCACTTTTGTTCGGTTTTATTATTAAATTGTAAATAAAACATTTAAAGCCTGACGATAAAGCTGCGGTAGCGTCTGGATAATCTTTTATTAATATTAAATATTGGAGCTTACTAAAACCTTTCTGCGAAAAGAATTTCTATTTTGAAGGTGGTGATATCTTAGAAAACAATTTCGTAAAATTCAGTTTCTATTTATTTAAAATTCCGTTGGTATTACAATTATGTAGGAATAATATACGAAATTTTAATTTCTTAAAATATCTTTGCTTATGTCTCATGCGGAACTATTATTGAAATATTTCTTTATGTATTTATTAGATTAATATTTTCCCAAATTTAATTTGAACATACTCATTACTCATGTGTATTCATCAATTTCAGTCAGTATTTTAGAACGACTTATCAAAGAACAGAAGTAACAGAGAAGAGTATCCATTCGAAATTTTATAAAGCGCGTCGGGTTGGTGAGAATTAAAAATCGTTGCGTTCGATGACAATCAAATGATGATGTCAAATGTCAACGCGTTTGACTAATCACTATTAAACGGATCGTTCGTTCGTCTTTTATTTGTCCCGAGGAGTATTTATAATTTAAAAAGTGTCAAATTATAGTTATAATAACAATGTTGGCCTAGTGGCTTGACCGAGCGACTCTGCTATGCATTAATGGACATTTATGTCTATGTGCGCGTTGAAGACTCTAATGATGTGAAAGAAAACATAGAGCAAAGCGGAATATCTCAGACCACAAAAAAAACGGGGTGTGTCAGGTACGAAAGGCTTAACACATACTTTCCTATTGGGAAACAAATTATCAGGAAGTTGATACAGAAATCAACTTATTCATTTAAAAAAAAACTATAATACTAAATTCATGTTTGCACTAGTAATACAATCAGGCGCATAGAACGGTCAAGATGAATTGTCATTGAAATCGCTCAAGTGTTTTAATAGGTTTTCAAGTTAATTGTAAGAAGCAGCAACCATTACCTAGGTACACTTTGTTTCTCATAATAAAGTAAATCATAATCATAAAAATAAATACGATTGTTTAGCCTCTATCACCAGGCGATATAGGAACATACCTACACCTTATAGTGAACTTTTCCAGTGTAGTGCCTAAGTAGTAAAATGTTGAGTCTATGATAATCCATTCCTCACAATGTTTTCCTTATAGTACATAAAAGTGTTAATAGCCAAACAAATGTATGTCGGCAGTAGAAACTGAATCTTTGTTTTAAAATGTATGTAGAAATCCTCCAAAGTTCAAATGTCAACGCAATTACAGTGATTCAAAGCGCTCAAGTTCTGTGTCAAAATCGCAATCAAAGCTAAAATGGGTGGAAATAATGATAGCTGGCAGAAAATCGGAATCACCTGACATATAAACTGTCGATTTGATCGATGCCGAACGTAACATTTGTTATATTAAAATGTTTTAGAGGATTGCGATAATAAAGCTGTTTTATCTATAATATTGTAGGGATCAAAAAGTATATAATAATACTGCATTAGGAAACACTAGTAAAACCTTTATTTCTTGTAGAATTTTAATTAAAAAAAATTACTCAGAAATTTACTGACCATGTTGAAGGCGACTTTATTATATATATTAATATCGATATGTCACCGTAAAATTGTAAACACCGTTAGATTGTAATCTATCTCGCGAGATTATGAACTGTCGAAAGATTGTGAACCGCAATGCACTGCTTACAATTTAACGTATTATTATTCGGTGGATTGTAATCTATCGAAGTGAAACCGTCAAATTGTGAAACGGACCGCATCTCTCGCGCTGATTGATTGAACGGAATATGCCACGCGCCCATCTATTTGTTTTATCCTCTTTGTTGCTAACTCATCGATTTTGCGAGAAAAATATCGATTCCGCAGAATATTTAATAAAATCACTTATTTTTTTGAATAAAATAAATAGCTTGTGGTCCGTTACTGATTATTCTTGTTGATACCGCCGTATTAAAGGAAATGAATTCCTTTTTCAAACTATTTATATATTTTCAATATACTTCCAACGAACCATTCCAATTTCAAAAAATGAATTCTGAGTGTCAATTTGAATGTGACAGACAATTTTACTCACCGTCTTGGAAAATTTTATCAATTTCCATAGCTGAATTGTACACAACAAATCCATAAAAGGTATAAATATTAAACAAAAAGTCTTATTCGACACGTCATCATTAAACTACGAATAATAATAAAAAAATTACACACCAAGCCCTGTTAATTTTGGTTAACGACTAGCCACAGGTAGGTATACTTTATCTAGTTCTGTAAGTGTAATTAGGAAATTTAAATAAATCGTGTATAGCACTTTAATATCTGTACAGTAAAATTACTATTAATTTAATTTAAGAAAGTAGAATATAAGTCGAACATCAAGGGAGACGCCAAAAAATTCGAGTTATAGAGTTTTCAACTTATGGAGGATTTCGACTTAGGCGGATTTTGATTCGACATAAAGAGTTTGAGGTTTATTCTTATAAATTTCACTAATTGATGTGTATTGCAGTAGAACCAAACTACTTCTGACAGTATTTAAGTCAAAAACAAATGACTGGCTTAGCTAAATTTCAAAGGGAATCAAAATTGAACACCTGACACAAAGCAAGCAAACACGTGTTTCCATGAGTCATAAATTTATTATTGTATACTCCTAAAATGTTTTCTAAGAAACAAGAGTGTACTCACATTGTCGGCAAGTTCTTAAAGTCGGTAACTTATTTTTGTTCCAACAATAGTTCCAACAATATAGAAATTCCAAATGATCAAGTTGTAAAGGTTGTAAAATAAAATGTTCCTATGTTCGAGATACAGAGGTCAAATTTAATTTTTCGAGTTATAGAGTGAAAATATGTACCAAAATGGCTTGGAGGGACTCGGTGATTATTTCGATTAACAGAGGGTCAAGATTTCAAGTAATGGAGGTTTTGGTGTTTTAAGGGAAGGGAACAAAACATTTTTTCGAGATTTGGAGGTTCTACGTAATTTATAAACCCCGTAGACCGGGGGTGCATTGGGGGGATGGAGTTGTCAAGGACCTCGAAACGATAGGGGTTCAAAATTGTACGCGGGAAGCACTGAATACATTGCGATGGCGAAGTGTACTTGAGAAGGCTAAGGCCCACTAGGGGCTGTATAGCCGTTGATGATGATGATGATCACATGTATTTATAGTTTTCTTCTGATCTGATCTCTTAAGGACCAGCGCATATACCAGTGTT